TGATTGCAATGGAACCCCCTGAATAATTCAAGATAATCTCTGTATTTTAAGGTCCTTAATTACACTTGCAAATACCTTTTGACATATAAGGTACATTCATAGGTTCTAAAGATTAGTGCCTCTTTCAGGGGCCATTCTTCAGCTCAACACAATTAGTAGCATCTAAAAATGTTTTTGTTTTTCCCTCATGCTTTATTTGAAAGTTTGACATATTGTATAATACCAAGTTCATGCTAATTTTTTCCCTCAAAAAATTGAAAATAGTGCTTCATTATCTTGAAACTGATAAAAAATTTGATAGTAGTCTGATTCTCATTCCTTGCTGTACGCCATGAAAATTTCCCTGTTCTCTAAGCTCCTGAGATCTTCTGCATATATTAGAATAAGAAATTTTACAATACCATCCTACATACTATTTCATGAAACATTTGTTTCACTTGTACACGTGTGGTGTGTTAAAAATTTTTAATGCCTTCCAAAACTTAGTCTTTATTTTCTTAGTGTCTGAAATAGAGGTTGACGTTTTTACATTAAAAATATCACTAGAGGTTATGTTAATATGGAAGATGTATTTGAGAAGAACATTCCTACTAGTTTTAGTTTACTCTTTTAAATAAAAAATTTCTTTGTTGCTCCATGACAAGTTTTATTAAGTAATGAGAATGTGGCTAATACTGAAGTAAAAAATGAAGGCATATTCTGAAGCTGCCTGCTTAAAGCCCCTGTTTGTTATTAGATGGAATGCTGGGTGTAGGCTGGTGTGGTTCATAGTTGGGAATCTAGCCTGAAAGACATGTTTTTACCCTCAACAAATATCATCTTTGTTTGAATATCTATAGTCTATGTAAGTCTATGTAAGAACCTTTTCTCCCTTAGAATGCATCTCAAACGTTTTCTTACTTGTATTTGTTTCATAAATAGTTTAAAATTGAGCTGCCTTCCGCTTGCTTTTCTGTTTCACTTTGTTGGAGAATGTGGAGGTACCACCTAATACTCATGGTGGGCTTAAGAGCTATAAACTAATAATGAAATATTGGAATCGATAAGTTGACTCTATGAGGACTGAAGCTGTTGTTAATTCCCAAGGCCAGACTGGTTATCTGACAAAGGGTAAAGTATTTTTTTAAAGAGAAATTGTGGATTTATATTTACATTAATCTGTCAACATGTACACTAGAAAATACAGCCTGCTGTCAATTTTGTTGGATTTGAATTTTATGAACTTTGAATTGTTCATTACAATTTGAGGTTAACTTAGTGACACTAAGACTCAGTGCCTGCTTTTTAAAAATGTAATTCAGGAATATATACTTGGTTCTTAGAACTTCTTGAGAGTTCAAATGGAAGTAGGGTTGTTAAAACAGTTGTCAGTTTTTAAAATGTTTCTTACAATGCTTTTGTGTCCAGACAAATTTCCCTATATTGAGTATCTAACCCAAATGTCTTTTAATCCTTACTGAATAAAAAAAGTATAAATTGTGCATCTTATACTTTGAAATTTTGTTATATAAGATGTAATAGCAGTAAAAAGAATTTGAAGTAATTTGATTTGAATAATATAATAGTACTTTTTAAACTTGATGGTGGCATGCAATGTATGTACAAGTAACACAGGTTTCTTTGTTTAATAGTTGCCTGGAACTTTGTGCGCACTTGCACACTGACACAGACAGCTACTGATATCCCTTGTGGTCAATGTTTTAGGATGAACTCTTTGTTCTTGCAATGGAATTTCTAAATAAGCAGTCAGAGTGAAACTAAAGGGAATATTCTAGTGCAATTTTTAACTGATCTCAACTGTAGAGTCAGATAGTATGAAACAATTTAACTATAGTAAATCCTGTATCAGGATACTATATTTATATGGTTGATTTCCTTATTCACAATGTGGATTATTTAAAAAGTGTCTCTTAATTCAGTCTTGTGGAAAGATTGGCATTTTTTTCTTCTCTGAACACGTAGTTTTGGCTGTAATTTATAAAATTATTTTGAGTTTTTTAAATTTTTTTTAAGATTTATTTATTTATGCATATAAGAACTGGGGTAAAGGCCAGAGGTATGTGGGGGGTGGGTGGGGGGGGTGAGAGGACTCACCAGAGACAGAGTGGGGAACAGAACAGGCAGATTGACTGAAATATACTGCTGAAGGGAGCAGCAGGCCAGTCAGGAGAGGTCTGCTGCACCATGTGGGTAGCTCCGTGGCCGGGGATCCAATTCGTGCTGCAGTGGCTGCAGATAGCTTCATAGGTTGAGTCTTAACCCCTTGCGCCACCAGGGAGGCGCTAGTTTGACTTTAAATCCATGTTTTTAGGAATGCATTAATTCATATTACAACATTTTTTCTCCCCTTGGGAAAATGTAAGGAAAGGAATTTCTAAAGGAATTTTAAATATTTAGAATTTATTTGACCAAGAGTCAAGTTAGTTACTCTGATCATCATGTTAAATACATTATCTTTCTCCCATAAAATTAGGATTAAATTTCATGCAGTTTCAGTATGACTTCAATTATGTGGTTAGCTTTTCCTTTCTGGAAATCTGTGGACTGTACATGATTTCTTACAGTTTGCCACAGTGAGATTTTCTTGGAATACATTGCATCTTCAGTTCTAGTACCATACAGATTCCAGTTCTTGGCTTTACATTTTTAAAGTTTTCATTGGTAAGTCGGAAATATAGTTGATATTCCTACTATTTCTACCAGGAATAAAGAACTGTTATAAAGTACATTCAAAGAAGGCACTCATCTACTGATTTGGCCTAATACCATAAAAATTCATGGGTATCAGTTCTGATAATGGAAATAGAGTTTAATAAGTAGACATCTTTCTAGTTTGAGTTTATTTCCGTTCATTTGCTTAATCCTTTTGTAGAAGTGTTAGTGTAATGTTTTAAAGTTGAACAGCAGGAGGAGGAAAAAGGAATTGACAAAAGCCCATAAGTCTTAAAATAGGATAATGAATATGAATATGTATATAATTGAGTTGGTTATCCCAGACTCCTGATCGCATTAGTTCGCTTTGAAAATCTGAACAACTAGTCTCTTTTTGGTTATTTTTATTGAACTATTACTGATTCACATTTCCCACAAAGGCTAGCATATTGATGCTGTAGTCTGAGAAAACCAGTGACATGCTTTTTTCCCAAAAAGACTTTAAAAAATTTACACATTCTCATTTTGCTATTTTTACTGTCATAAACAATATTGTGCTTGTTTGATTATCTCATTACATAAAATCCATGGAGGTGAAACTGTTGGGTAAAATATATGCCTGTTTTTAAGTTTTTTGATACCTCAAATTGCTTTCTAGAAAGTTTATATATATTTATATGTCTGCCCTCATCATAAAGTATTGCCAATTTCGCCACACTGTTGTCAACATTGAGTATTATCAGTGCATTTTTTTGGTCAGTCTCATGTAGAGGCAAAATGATGTCTTAAAACTTGTATTTCTTTTGTTTCTAATGAGTTTGATTATTTTCCATGTTTTGGCTCTTATGTTTAGATTTATTTTTATCAGAGTTGTATTTGACTTAGAGATGCAGCAATATCTAAGTCTTATTTGAAAAACAGCAGATTTCCACACACTTCCCTCCTCAATGTCCACCCCATAGAATAAGTGCTCTTTACTACCTTGATTCTTTTGCTGTTTACTTCTGTAGCATTAAATAACATGTATATATTTCCTGCTAAAACTGCTTCTGCAGTTTTAGACAATGTTTGTTTTGAGCTTTTGCAGGGTGAGGATTTGTTTTTTTTCTGTGCACCCATCTCTGCTAAACATACTACATACCCCTTCAACTTTCAGGGCCTTTAACTCTTTAATCATGCTCTCTGTTTTTATTCCCACCCATATCTCTCCTCAGCAGCCATTTGCTGGGCCTTTGAGGGAAGGGATTTAAAGAATCCCTATATTTTTAGTGAGTTTTAAAGAGAAATGGACATAAATGTGTGTGTTCCATCTGCCATCTTTACATGAAAGTCTTTTTTTGTGTGCTTTTACATTTTTTAAATGAAGCAATGATTCCAATTACAGATTATAGAGTTAATGTTGCTTGAATTTGAGGCCTACCATTGCTGTTTACTAGCTGTGTGACCTTAGGCAATTGCTTAAAATTTAAATCTCACTATTTTCATTTGTATAATAGGATCAGTATATTTATCTTAGCGTATTGTGAGAGTTAAATGTGGTAAGACATAGAGAAGTGCTTTTCACAGTATCTACTGTATGGTAGTAGCTTACTATGTCGGGTACTTAGTAAGAGCACAATTATAGTTGTGGTGCTGTTGTTACTCTTGAATTTCTTGCTCATGAATTTTGCCCAGTTTTCCAGTGGAATGCTTATCTTTTTCTTATTAATTAGGGATATATTATGATTTCTACTTTTGTTACCAAATTTATGTTTTTGAAAGGTACTTGGTGATGATAAGGGAAGAAAAGGAGGTGGGAAGAAAAAGAAAGACAAATGGAGACAGTTGGGACAGTTGATTAGGGGGAACTGAGAGACTAAATGAAGAAATGATTATTTTCATTGCTAAGAGAAATAATTTTTAAGCTCTTGAACTATAATACATTAGCTTATTTTGTGAACAAATTATCTTAATTTTAAAAAGCGTTCTCGAATTGTCTACTCAAGTGAATTTCATCTGAAAACTTAGAGCTTTCAGTTTCAGTTTCTACTTTAATATTCATTTCTATGACATTAAATCTAAAAAGACTCCTGCCAGATAGGATTTATGATATTCCCTAAGTTTAAGCTATATTAATAAATTTGGTTTCTTTTCAATATCATATATAATATTAAAATGTGCATGTTGATAATCCAGATTTGTAGTTAGAGATATTTAATACATCATTTTAAGTTTATTGGATTTTACTGGTTTATCATTTTATATAATATTGATTCATTGTTTTTTTAATTCATTTTATCTTAGTTTTATAGTGAATTAACTGTATGATTGTTTGAACAACAGTTCACCTAAATTTGATCTCTCCACAGATTCAGATCAAGATGTAGCACTCAAACTTGCCCAAGAGAGAGCTGAAATAGTTGCTAAATATGACAGAGTAAGTATCCATATTTACTCTTTGAGTAAGTTTTATTAGAAAAAATCATAAATAGAAATGGAATTGTTTTTTGAGCGATTAAATTACAGCTTGTTTTCTTCATGTGAAGATTGAAATCATCTTTTTTTCTCTGACTTCATCTCCAGATTCTTTCTCCTCCCTCTGCTCCAGATACTCTTCTCTTATTGGTCTTCCAAAACACAAACGTGCTCTGGCTTCAGGGAGTTAGCACTTGCTGTTTCTTCTGTCTAGAACACCACATGTATCCTGGATATCCTCTGCTCTTTGCCTCACCTCTCAGATCTTTACCCAGATGCTGCTTTCTTCGTGACAGCTTTCTGCACACACTGTTTAATATTCTTCTCCACCTCTGATACTCTGTGTTTCTCCTTTTCTGCTGTATTTTTCACTTATTCCCTCCCCAGGCCTTGTTTATACTTAATTTTTGTCTGCTTTCATTCCTAGAATGTGTACTTTCTGAGGATAAGAATTTCATTTTGTTTAATTTACTCTTTTAAATACTAGAGCAGTTTCTGACTAATACTAGTGTAATGAACAAATGTTCTAATAAGTTAGTATATAGAATTAAATACCTATTTTATTTATAATTTATCTGTGCTATTAAAAATTGACGCTTTATATGTCTCATTACCTTTTTGAGGACTGTAATGAGTTGTAACAATGATTTGCAAATGTCATGTTTTATATTTGTATCAATTGCATGTAATTTCTTATCTGTTGTTTTTGATTATTTGTGAGAATACCAGGAGCATGAAATTATAGAAAGCCATCTGGACTGTGCCTTGCTTTGAGGGAGGCATACAGGCAGAGCTCAACCAAGTAGTTATGTTCCCAGAGTTTGTTTTTTTTTTTTTTAAGTGTTTTATTTATTTATTTTTTATTTTTTAAAGATTTATTTATTTATACAAGCACTGGGTATAGTCAGAAGCGCGGGAGGGTGAGAGAATTCACCAGAGCCAGAGCAGGGAGCAGAACAGGCAGAAGGACCAAAGTACACTGCTGAGGGGAGCAGCGGGCGCGGCAGGAGAGGTCCGCGCGCCATGTGGGACCCTCGCCCGGCAGCCGGGGATCGAACCGGCGCTGCAGAGGCTGCAGGCTGCTTTGCAACCCAGCGCTTAACCGCTGTGCCACCAGGGAGGCCGCCCAGAGTTTGTTTTTAAGTTGTTTGTTTGGAACATCAGACATTGTTTCCCATTATTGTGATTAACTTTTAGTGTAGCCTATGCCAACTTAACTTGTTTAACTGCTTAACCAGGAGAATGTGCTTACCCCCCATGGGGGTGTGCTTACCACCCCCCCCCCCCCCATGTAATTAACTCTGTGTGATGAGGCCTACTTGGAAAAGAAGCAGACATTATATACTCAGATGGAGGGGTCCACAAGACAATTGATACTGAGTCAGAAATTTGAAGGATCAGTATAGACAGCTACATTTGGGGTTCCTACACTAATCAGTGCTAGCTAATAGCCAGAAGAATGGAGTGAGATTAGCAGTGGGCTGAGAGTAGAGCTCTGGGTAGTCTGACAGCTGAGAAGTATCATGACCAAGTCATCAGAAAAAGAGCTGGAAGATAGGAACAAGAGAATCAAGAGAAGATGATATTAGTGTATCCGAGGACCAGGGAGTCAGCAATGCTGACAAGTGTACCTGTAATATCCATTAGATTAGGACTAGAGTGTCTACCCGATTTAACATCGATCTTTTTCATTTTGGCAAAAGTAGTTTCAGGAATGATGTAGCTGTGATAAAAATGTAGCAAGACAAGGTGGATAGCCTAAACTTCTGAGAAGTTTGGATAAAGAGGCAAGAAATACATTTTTTTCTATGATGTGTCTACTCTAAATTAGCTTTCAAGTTTGGCAGTTCATTCCTCAGTGCTTTCTTAATCTCTGATGCTTCCTCTTTCACAGTCAGCTTCTTACATGAACCCAGACTGGTCAAGACTTAGCTACATATCAGCTGTTGCTGACATATAGTATCTTCCAAAGTTGGTAACTAAGAAATAGTGATAATATTGTTAAAAATAATTTGTTAAAAAAAAGTTAAGTGAGTTTGATAATGCCTCACAGCTGCTTTTAATGTTAATACATAACTTTTATGTTTTTGGTCTTTTCATTTGAAGAAATATTTCACTGTTACTATTCTCAACACTCTTATTTGTTCCCTATTATAGGGCCGAGAAGGTGCAGAGATTGAACCTTGGGAAGATGCTGATTACCTTGTCTACAAAGTCACAGATAGATTTGGCTTTTTACAGTAAGTTGCAAAGATTAAAAATAACTTTAAATTATAATAAATGTATGGCCACTTCTTAGTAGCCTTTTCCTTTTTTTATTTTAATAAAATTGCTGTGAATTAGATTCTAGGACTGGTGCTACAGTATGCTTTTTGCTATCAAATTTCTGGCATTTTTAACCTCTAAGCTGAAATTGAACTACAGTTAAGAATACAATATTTAATACTTACTGTATTTTTACAATAGTTAAGTGCAGTAAATGAATTACATTAATAATTTAAATGAATTAAATGGATATTAATAACAATTTGTATTTCAAAAATATTTTTCATTTTATATAAATGCACTTTAATAATAATTAGCTGTTACGCAGCTTAAAAATGAACACTGAAAAAAATGCCATTGATCTTTCTTATAGTTGTAAATGTATTCATGCTATTGCTTTTCAAAATTAATACCATTTATCCTGAGTATGTTATGTAAAGAGTTGAGAGAGGTCTAGACCAGTATAAAGTGGTTAAAGTGATTTTAACTCTTAAAAACATCCTGCAAATGAGATGAATTTGTCTGTTTCTGACATAGTGTTGTTGGTTATATTCCTACTGGCTGGAGTCTACTCTTCATCTTATCTATGTTTGGTTCCATACAGCTTATTGATTATCCTGTCAATCAAATTTATTCCTTTGTAGTGTTGTTTACTCTAGATAGGAAAAAGTCAGGGATTTTTATTTTTATATATGATTAAAATTTGAAGGAAAATATAATTTCTTGATAGATCATCATAATAACTTGTAGCACTTGTTTTACTTTTGAGTTTTCTTGCATTTAGAAAGTATTTTTGTTATATCCTGTTTTTCTGAGTGTAAAATAAGCAAACAAACAGAAACAGTTCTGGAACTTAGTGAATGTGTTCTTGCTCTTCTTGTGGCGTTGCTGGTCTCAGCCATTTCATGACTCATGTAAAACAGAAATCATTAATTGCTCTCATACCTTAACAGTGTAGTGGAAGCTTTATAGAGTTAGAATGTAAGAATGCTGTATGAAAGTCTGAACCAATATAATGTGTTATTATTCTTACTGACATCAACATATGAAATATTCTTCTGAGGAGTTATAATAAGAAGACTTTGAACTTCAACAGACTAGTAACAATATTTAATTATGATAAAAATGCTCTTTTTAAATTAAATCCCACTCCCCCCCCCCCACTTCTTTTAAAGTAAATCAAACCTGGCCACAAATGCGGCAGGAAATGATTGCACACTTGTGTGGGTTAATGTGCATATCTGAGGTATGTGAATGAATTTTGTAAAGACAATTTGAGCATTTAGCCCTGTCAAGACTAGTGATTCCCAAATTTTCCTGCGTATTAGAATCATATGGGAAATGTTTGTTTTTAAGTAGATTTCAGAGTTCTACTTTAGATTTTGATTTAGAAAGTGGGTTGTAACTCAGCTGATTTTGACTTCCCTAGTGTTTCTGATGGGAGGGAACAACTATAAAACATGTTTTTATGGTAAAGTGGTTTCATATAGTACAGAAATATATTGAAACATTGTCTTAATTTTCTTTTCTCTTTACTTGAATGTGAGCTAGGATCTAATATTAAAGCCTAGTTTGGGCCTCCCTTGTGGCCTAGCGTTTGTCTCAGTGCTATCACCTTTACCGCCAGAATTTGAGGCCTAACATCAATATCCGGCTAGGGTTCTGACCCACATATGGTGCAGCAGACCTCTCCTGTCTTGCCTGCTGCTCCCCTTAACAGTGTATTTCAGTGTATTGGCCTGTTCTGTTCACTCTATCTCTGGTGAATCCTCTCAGCCTCCACACTTCTGGCCTATACCCCAGTTCTTCTACCAAAAAAAAAAAAAGAGAGAGAAATTGCTAAAATCCTATTCTGTGTTGGCAATCTAAAAATTTTTCAGTTATTTCATATTGGTTTTTCACCCCTTGTATTAAGGTCCCATTCTTTCTCTAGTAGGAAAGCAGTCAATAATTTGTCTTAATAATATTAGCTAATGTATCTTATTACTGTTCTAAGCTCTTTACATAGATTAACTCATTTGTCCTTCAGAAACTCTTTGGGATAGGTGGTCTTTTTATCTTTTTTTAAGATGAAACACACAAAGAGGTCAAGGAAAATCCGATGTGGACCTTGGAAGTCTTACAGCAAACCCTGTGTCTGGACTTCTGCATTATACTGCTTAGTACTACTCTTCTATGGTTTTAATAAGAGAAACACAGAAGAAAAGCTTTGAAATATCTAGAAAGAAAATTAAAGGGGGAAGAATGAGTGCCTAAAGAGGATACTGCTTATTATGAACACCTCTGTTGAGGTTAACTCAAATAACTAAGCTCACCATTTCTTTAAAAACAAAGTCAATTGGTACCAGTTTCTATATTATCACACTGATTTTTTTAATTTGCTCCATAATGTACTCCTAAGCAGACAGCATAAGTGAAAATAACGAATCATAGAAACAGATTTTAGTGTAATGGCAGTCTTTATTAAATTTTAACAAAGTCATTGGCTTTTGTTACAATTCCTGATTTCATTAAAACACTTCTGAGATTGCTACTGGTTCCTCTCACTGCTGGTTACTGGCGTTTTCTGTGGTGCTGAATAAATTCACTTAGTCTAGGCATTTAGACATTACTCCCAAGCACACCTTGATCAAAGGGCTCTTCTTTCTGCTATGCTAGTTCTTTGTAGTTCTTGATTGGTTCTGCAATGGATTAGGCTTTAAGCATCAGTCTCAATGCAGTAAAGTGGCCCAAAGTCATCTTGTAGCCTTCTCTGAGGCTGTTGAATTCATATCTTAATTATAATTTTAGTAACTTAAATAGCTTGTTATGATATGGGAAGGATGACAGTAATTAACAAAAACAGTACATGTTTAGCTTGGTTTTATAACAGATTTCACAATAAATATAAAAAGTCTTGCAAAACCAGCCTGTCTTGATGCTGAAAAAGGAACATCTTTAAGTCTCAGAATTGGTTAGTTATCCCCTGTCTTAAAATGCTGAGGATGGAGTTACATCTGGAGAAGGGAGAAATAGGACTTATTTAAGAAGTCAGAGAAATTCCAGTATTTGAAATTTTAATATTTGTATCCAAAATAGTTACTGCTAATCTGCTCAACAAGGAATGCTTGGTATTTGGATAATGATGGATAATGACGTTAGGTCACAAGTTATTAATAGAGAAATTAGAAGGAAATTCTTATCAAAAATAAAGATAAAATTAATACCAAGCATTAAATTTTCAACTGTGTATATTTATAAATATTAGCAGATTGCCTGTTGTTTAATATGACTATATAAATACCTGAAAGCTTGAATAAAGGTGTTTTTGTTTTGAAAGAATATTTGTTTTGATAACAGGGCTTGAGAATGCTTTCTCCCCATCTAATAATTTTGAAGAGTAAATCTAAACTTAAACAAAATTTTTGCTGCAAAAGCAAAATTTAGCCAGCATATTCAACTTAACTGATCTTAACAAGTTAAGCTTTAAGTTTTCAAATCAGTTTTTTCACATGACCTTAATAAGTAATTCATTTAAATTTAGTAGCATATGAAAAAAAAAAAAGATCTAGATCTAGTTAAGGCCCCCTTTTTACCAGGAAGAACTGTTTTTGTTGTTGTTCTTACTTACGCATTTCTGTGAGGCATAGGTTCTTCCTGTATCCTGTTGTTTCCTTTAAGGAGCCTCTAGCTGCCGCTTTCCCTTAGAGCACAAGCTTTTGTTCTCTAAAGCAGGGAAGGCAAACATTTTCTGTAAAAAGCCAAATATTAAATAATTTTGACTCTGTGGGTGATATGGTCTTTGTCACAACTATTCAACTCTACCATGGTAGCATGGAAATAATCACATAATACATAAATGAATGAGCATGACAGTGTTCCATTAAAATTTATTTACAAAAATGGATACTAGGCCAGATTTGATTCATGGACTGTAAGTTAGTATACCTAAAGGAATACTTTGCATTCACCCTGAATTTGGTCCATTCTTTTTTCCCTTTTTTATTTTTTTCCCTTTTTAAAAAATATGTTTTTCAAGCTATTTTTTTCCACATGTGCACATGTTCCACTCATCCACTACCAAGCCATTCATGCTCATACCTATCTACCTGCCTCCCTTTTCCACCTCTCTCCCTTACCCTGTTCCCTCTAGTGATCATTATAGTCTTTTCATAGAGTTCAGGATTTATTCCTAGTATACTTTGCCTGTGTGTGCTTTTTTATTTATATTCCTCACATGAGTGAACCATGCATTATCTTTCACTTTTTGACTTACTGACTTAACACAGTCACCTCAAGGGCCATCCCTGTTGTCCCAAATGCCACTCTTTCACCATTTTTCTCAGCTGTGTAATAATCCGTTTAGTATATATTCCACAATTTTTTCATACATTCATCTGTTGAAAGGCACTTGGGATACCAAATTAGGGCACAAAAATTTGTTGCATTTTTTAAAAGATTTATTTATTTATCTATCTATCTATTTATTTATACAAGCGCTGGGTACAGTCAGAAATGCGAGAGGGTGAGAGAATTCACCAGAGCCAGAGCGGGGAACAGAACAGGCAGACCGACGAAGTACACTGCTTAGGGGAGCAGTGGGCGGTAGAAAAGGTCAACGTGCCATGTGGGACCCTCGCTCGGTGGCCGGGGATCTGAACCGGCGCTGCAGAGGCTGCAGGCAGCTTCGCAACCCAGCGCTCAACTGCTGCGCCACCGGGGAGGCCCAAATTTGTTGCATTTCTATACACTGATAAAAAAAATCTATCAAGAAAAGAAATTAAGAAAAAAAATTTCATTTACAGTTGCATCAATAAACAATAAAATACCTAAGAACAAATTTAATCAATGAGATGAAAAACCTTTACACTAAAAATCAAAAGATATTGATGAAAGAAATTGAAGAAGACACAAATACATGGAAAGATATTTTAAACTCTTGGATTAAAAGAATTAATGTTGTTAAAATGTCCATGCTACCCAAAATAATCTATAGATTCAAGTCCTGTCAAAGTTCAAAAAGCATTTTTCACAGAAACAGAACAAATAATCCTAAAATTTTTATAGAACAAAAAGCCTCAAATAGAGCAATATTGAGAAAGAACAAAGCTGGAGGCATCACACTTACTGATTTCAAAATCTTACAAGTAATTTTAATAGTATGGTATTGGCATAATAACAGACACATGGATAAATAGAACAGAACAGAGAACCCTGAAATAAACCCATGCATATATGGTTAATTAATTTCTGACAAAAGAGATAAGCGTATACAGAGGAGACAGGATAGTTGCTGTAATAACTAGTATTGGGAACACTTAATAGCCACATGCAAAAGAATGAAACTGGATCGCTGTCTTACAGCAGACACAAAAATCAACTCAAAAATCAATTAAAGACTTGATGTAAGACCAGAAACTATAAGATTCCTAGAGGAAAACATAGTTGGTAAACTCCTTTACATTGATCTGGGCAATGCTTTTTGGATTGACCCCAAAAGCAAAGTAAGAACAACAAAAATAAATGAGCAGGACTGTATCAAGTTAGAAATTTTAGCTTCTCTACAGATAGGAAATGATTAACAAAATGAAAAGGCAACCTACAGAATGGGAGATTATGCTTACAAATCATATCTCTGTTAAAGGTTCAATACCTAAAATACATGAAGAACTCATCCAATTAAAAAAAGTTAACCCAAATAAAAACAGGGCAAAAGATCTGAATAGACATTTTTCCAAAGAAGACATATAGGTGGTAAACAGGTACATGATAAGGTGTACAACATCACTAATCATCACAAAAGTACAAATCAAAACTATGATGCAGTATCACTTTCCACCTCTTAAAATGGATGTTATCAAAAGGCAAGAAATAAGTGTTGGTGAGGATATGGAGATAAGGTGAATAGTTGTGGAAAAGACTTATTGTTCCTTAAAGCCTAACTCTTAAGATTTAAATATTTGTCTTTAGAGAGGGATTGCTGGCCCCTGGTCTAGAGCATGTTGTCTAATAGAACTTTTTGCACTAGTGAAAAATTTTTTTTTTTTCTGTGTCTGCACTGATCAGTACAGTGGCCTCTATCATGCATTTGAACTATGACTAGTGAGACTGAGTATCTGAATTTTTAATTTTATATGTTTAATATAATATGATTTTAACTTACACCTAAAATTAAATAGCCACATATGACTAGTGGTTATTGTATTAGCACAGGTCTGGAGATTTGAAAATGGGGCGACTTTGGGTTACAGGATACCTAGCTTTTAAACTGAATGTGGTGGGATGGAAGCTTACGTAGTTCTTGTGATGACAAATAAATGGTTGCACATTATATGTCTCTACAGAGTTACAATTATTTGTAAGTTTGCTGAGATTTCAGTGATTTCACATACTGTTTTTCCTCTGCAGTGAGGAGGAGCTCCCCTATCATAATGCAGCTGTGGAACGGGTAAGTCTTGCTCTTCATTTATATATAGTTCCTGGTGAATTATGTTTATCAGAAGAAGAAAATCTACCACCTCTGTATATGTAAAATAGAATCATGTTAAAATTTGATACTAAGTATATCACTGTGAAAAAGTCATTAAATTAATTGGGGAATAATTTCAGGAGACTTTATGGAAGTTCTGATAGATTCTTGAGGAAAGGAAAGGTAGTAGTTATCCAAGAAGACCTGTATTCTAGGCAGTAACTCTCAGTCTTAGGAATGCTTCAGAATATAGAGTAATTCATTTATTGGTTGATTTTTCCTTTATTACAACACTGTATATAATTTATGGGAATATGATCACTACTCCTCAGATGTATGTTACCACCCTACCCCCACCATTCAGGTACCCATAGTCCTTTAGCAGAGACCCTATAGGGAAAGTCCTCCTGTAACCCCCTGACCTGTTTCTGTTAAATCTCTCATTTTATCTCCCATATTTGCTCTTGCTCACTCATTGCCCCCTTAATGTTTCTATAGTGTGCCACCAAATTACCTCTTTCATACCTTCAGCACTGGCTGTTTCCTGTGCTCTTCTTTTCTGATAGCAGCAAGTTGCAGTTGTTCATTTCCTTCAGTTGTTTACTCAGATGTCACATTCAGAATAAAGCCTGCTCTGGTTATCATATCTAGAATTGTGGACTTCTTCCCCCCATCCCCTGCCCCACACACATTCAAATTATCCTCCTCTCCTTTTCTTTAGCACTAAACGCTATTTCACATACTAAATATTTGAGCTATGTCTTTATTTGATCATGTTCCTCACTGACATGTTATCTCAGGGGGAAGAGGGAGCTGGTGGTGGTTCTCTGCTTAGTTTACTTCTGTGTCCCCAGAACCAATGGTAATGTACACAGTCTCAGCTTAGTAAGTAGTGGCTGAATGAATGACTGAATGTAATAACTGCTTTATGGCTAAACATGTAGATTTAAAGGCTGGGCAGCCATTTTCCTTTTGAATATTATGTGTTTTTTTATTGGACAAGTTAGGAAGAGAAGATTGGAAGGCATCTTTTAGCACAAGATAACCTTTGTTTGGTAAAGTCAAAATCCAGTAATTCACTTTTGATGACTTATCTTTCCAATACCTTTCTTTCACCCCTTTCCTCCCTCCCTTTTAAAAATAATTTCTGGGGCCTCCCTGGTGGCGCAAGGGGTTAAGCACCACACTGTGAAGCAATCCGCAGCCTCTGCAGCATGAGTTCAATCCCCGGCTGGCCAGGGAGCTCTACCCACATGGTGCAGCAGACCTCTCCTTTTGTGCCCGCTGCTCCCCTCAGCAGTGTATTTCACTCAGTCTGCCTGTTCTGTTCCCCACTCTGTCTCTGGTGAATCCTCTCACACCGCCCTCACCCTGCACCTCTGGCCTGTACCCCAGCTCTTGTATGCATAAATAAATAAATCTTTAAAAAAAATAAAAATAATTTCCTGGCCCAGAAATTCTAAAAGTTTGGGAGCCATCAATATAGAAGATTCAAGGCCTCCCCTGGTGGCGCAGCGGTTGAGTGCTGGGCTGTGGAGCTGCCCGCAACCTCTGCAGTGCTGGCTTGATCCCCGGCTGCCAGCGAGGGTCCCACAAGGCGTGACAGATCTCTCCTGCTGCGCCCGCTGCTCCCCTCAGTAGTGTATTTCGTCAGTCTGCCTGTTCAGTTCCCCGCTCTGGTGAATTCTCTTACCCCCGCGTTTCTGACTGTACTCAGTGCTTATATAAAGAAATAAATAAATCTTTAAAAAATATATATATAGAAGATTCAAGAAACGTAACAGTGAAAAAGAAAATAGGACAGTGTTAGTAAAGGATGATTGGTTGAGGGAGACTGTTTGGTTTTATTAAATTTTGTTTTCAAAGAAACTTATGTATACAGTAAAAGAACTCTTCCCTAATGCAACCATGCTTACAGTTGTTTATGCTAAAAATTTTGATACAGGAAATCACTAGAAACTAATCAGTATACACCTTGATATTTTAACATGAGATAATTTTATATTCATTTGTCAGTCTTATTGAAGGAGGAGCATGTGCTGAGGCTGTTTATTGAAATTTCATTATGCCTTTTATGCATCAAATGCACTCGTATGACCTACTTTTTACAGTTTTGCTTTCTTTAAAATGGAATGAGGACTTCAGACATACGCAAAACAATCTAAGCTGGAAACTTTCATTTATTAGGTTTCCCAAAATTTTTCTGATTTGAAGTGTACTTCATGTATTCTTCAGTGACTGCCTACTCCTAATGATCAAGCTCTGCCATTTCTAGAAAAAAAAAACAACAAAAAAAATACTACATATATTGCTTCATTGAAAAAGTCAATGGAAAAACAGCTTTGGTGAAGTATACAGTGTTTATTGATTTTTTACAAAGCATGCACTTGAAGCAGCTTCGTACTGCTACCTGGGTAGTCTTGTGTGCTAATACATTGTACACTAATGCTTAGTCAAGTAATCATGACTTCAGTTCCAGCTTTGCCAATGCAGTACTTTACAAGGCAAGCCTCTATTTAAAATAGGGACAGTTGCAGGCATTCTCTCATAAGAAGATTAATATTAATATTTGCAAAGTGCTTTGGATCCCTCCAGACAGGCACTTAAACAAACAAACACACTTATTATATTTACTCTGCAGAGAACAATATTAATAATGGATTATATTGTTTCTTTGAGCTTATTTATGTTTTTAATAAGGAGGAAAGGATATGTAAAACTGAATTTTCATGAATCCGGCTACTCTTTTATGTAGTGTGATATTTTGTTTGACTTATACAATATATTGGCATATTTACATACTTAAAGCCTATATCTTCAAGTCAACTCTCACTCAAAGTATATCTGACCAATAGATTCCTTATTCTGTCAAAACAGGACATTGTCCTTCTTGTACTTCTTGTCCTCTCCTGACCTCTGCTGGTGAGGTTTAGATGTATATAATTCTAGTCCACTTCATCCTCAGTCACACATCCTAATAATCAAATAGGAGAAAAAAAAAATCTGAAGATTTGTTTGCAGTAAAGTTCTAAGATTTATTATTCTAGAAGAGAAGCCTATATAATATCTATCTATGCAATGTATATGTTTAGTCTGTACTATCTGGACTATTTATCATGCTAATAGTGGGAGGAGGCTTGTGTAAAATAGAATACAATACTAAGTGAGTGATTAAACAGTTGTTAAGTACTTAATAGTCAACTAAAGGCTAAGTCAACAGAGGGCTAAAATTATAGTCACAGATCACTGCAGTTTGAGAGGCAACAAAGAAGACATTGGTCCCAATTTTAATTGTTATACTCTCCTTGCCCCAACAACAAGGGCTAGTCTTGATTCAGAGGGGACATCAATTTAAAATAACTTGGTATCAGATAATAAAGGTCAAAAGACAGTTTATTCTTCCTAAAAACAACTTATGGGAAGAAAAGTACACAATAATATACCATTTTTGCAGTCAGCATAGGTAATGGAGAGAAAACAAAAAGTATGTAGGATAGAGATGAAGACCTCTGCATCATTTCCCACTTGATATATGTTGTTCTGACATTCTCAGAGGAGTAGAATTTTTTTGTACTAGGGTATTCTATATTATATGATTTAAAACATTTCAGTGGTGAGTTCATCTAGTGCTAAGATATGAGTTGTTTTTTATTTTCCTGTTAAAAAGAGCCAGTGTCTTTAAAAATGGCTGATCTAGGTGTTGGGTAGAAAAAGTTTAAAGTGAGACTGAGTTATTTTGTGCCAGATAGGGCATGTCTAAAGAATCCACTTGAAGGGGGAAATTTCCAATCAGATGAGAGGCAGTTTCAGCCTAATTTGGGATAATTTGAGCTTCAAAAACAATCACAGTAATGGATTACTACATTGATATTAAAAGGTGGAGGGGAGAGAAAGGAAAACAATAATAGAAAAATTTCAGTTAATAATATAGAAATAAATTAGGAAAAGAAAACATGATATCTTTCACATCATTAGAATCAGAATTAATTCAGACAGAGTTGCTCATGGATGATAAGACTACCGAGTAGAGTTGTTAAGGAAATGATGTCCACTCTGTCTCACAGTATATACCACACAGATTACATATCATTTATAAAAGGGTATTTCTCTATTAGTGGTGAAAGTGAGCAAATACCATTTACCATTTGATCAAAATGTTGTATCATTGGGGGCCTCCCTGGTGGCGCAAGGGGTTAAGATGCAACCTATGAAGCTGTCCGCAGCCACTGCAGCACGAGTTCGATCCCAGCCAGGGAGCAACCCACATGGTGCAGCAGACCTCTTCTGACTCGCCTGCTGCTCCCCTTAGCAGTGTATTTCAGTACATCTGCCTGTTCTATTCCCTGCTCTGTCTCTGGTGAATCCTCTCGCCCTCCCGCACATCTGGCCTGTACCCCGGTTCTTGTATAAATAAAATTAATCTTTAAAAAAACCCCAAAAATGTCAATGTCATGAAAGACAGAAAAAGACAAGATAACTGCTCTATGGTAAAAGGAAGTAAAGAGATGAGCCAGTAAAGACAGTGCGTGACAGTTGGGGGATTTGGGATATGAACTGTTTATTAGGTTATAATGAACTAAATTAATTTTGGGGGGTATAATAGTGATACTCTGAATTTGTAGGATAATGTATTTTTGTTATTAGATGCTGTATATCTGAAATACTTAGAAGTGAGATGTTCTTGATATTTGTGATTTTCTAATAGATCAGCCCCAAGCAAACAAAACAAAAATCTTTATAAATAGGACAGTCTGGCAAAATGTAGTAATTGGAGAATTTTGGTGAATCACATTAAATATATGGGGTACTAGTCTTTCCAAATTTTCTGTTACTTTGAAATATTTCAAAATAAAAATGGAGACATGTCTGTATCTGAACTCAATAGAGTTACTTAAGTTTCAATTTTGTATGACAGCTAACCTGAGTACTTCTGCCTTTGGCAGCTTTATGAAAAATGTTGGCAGCATGATAGAATGATA